AATATTTGACCCGATATAGCCAAGAACCTATAAAACATGGAATAATGTTTGTTATACCATTAATAATATATGTGTTTATTATTTTCATAGAAAATTCATGTTAATCAATAATAGTGTACTCTTTGTAGGCGTTGTTATGCATCATGGTCATCAATTTTTGTGCGCATTGCGACCCCCAGATGACCATGTTGACAGTAATTCACACATTTCATATTTTGCACACTTATTAACCTCAGTAAGTACTAGCTATGGTGAAAATTTCATGTTGGTGTCTTAAGCCTTTCCTACTAAATCAATTGCTAATTAAAACCATATTTTGTTAAGTTTTTTTTTAATAATAATAATATTTTTTGTACATTAAAATGTATTGTGATAAATCATCAAAGCAATGAACTGTCAATTAAATTATATTAAAAAATAGTTAAAGTTACAAAATCTAATTATAGACTGTTTTTATCAACAATATAAGCAACCATGTAAAGTGATTTCAGCGTATAGTGCCATTGCATTTAACTGTTGGTATCTTATCTATTTACACACAGTTCTACTATCCAACAGTTTCTTGCAATTGTCAAAATGCTCATCATTATAGAAATACTGTCTTGCTGAACTGCCAGACAACATTGGTGGTGGAAGATTGCACAGCACATTAGTGAATGATATCCAGCAGGTATCTTCACGATGTGGCCAAGTTTATCTGTTTGTAGGTGTTCTGTTCATGAACTTTACCAAGATATCTTGATGTTCATCAGAATGTTCTGTTATGCAACCAATAAACCAATCAGTGTCATAAACAACAGCCACAAACTGTCCTGGATGCAAGTCTGTTATACTTGATGCCAGTTCAACTGCCAGGTCAGGTTCTGGTGACACATTGAGGGTTGTACCCAAGTCATCACATGACAACCTGAATATCTTCAGTTAGTTTTCATTTACTGCCACAAACCAGTGGTGTGACTGTGTGCTAGGAACAGTTTGAATTGAAGCAAATTGTTTGACCAAACAGCTACGATGCACCTTGATGTCATCTTTTGCTGCAAAAAAGAAGTGAATTCCTGGAATGTTTTTGGTTGCCCAATCGTACATTTGATGTAGCGTTAGTATTTGATGTTGCAGAGTTGCCTGCAAACTTGCTCTTGCCACTAGCCTCTATAATGTACCACCAATACCATCACAAGGACTTTTTCCATGACTGGTAGCAAAAAAATTCCACTCCGCTTCAATACCAAAATCTGTTTTATGCATGCACAGATTCTTTAAGTTTTTTCAATTTTTATATTGTGCTGTTGCTCCATCACTGAAGTAAACTATTTTCTGCAAATCAGGCATTTTGCTCCTGAGAAATATCAGCACTATTTCAATGAAGGCATGGACTGTACCTGCTACATGTTCACAGTCATCACTTATAATGCAAAGAGACAAGCAGCATAGGTCATTGCTGGGTAGCTTATGATAATACACAACAAATGGATGCAATGTGGCCTATGATGTTTCCCAGTGGAAGCCTTGCACTGCATCGTGACAAATAAATGAATAATTTTCTGAAAAATCCAGCAATGCAACTGCTGTTCCAACTGGCAAACACTCCTTTAGATGACGCGAATAGGATGACTGTGCCTTGGCCGTGAAATAATGATCTGTTGTTTTATCAGCGGAAGTACAAAGTGAAGTAATGAAGTCAGCAACAGTCTCACATACAGATAGCAACTTTGACTGACCATCATGGGTCCATCGTTTGTAATTGATTATGTCATCTAAATCCATATCAGCTTCATCAAATAGCTATTCAAGAAATGATTTCAGTTCATCAATACCAGGACAAATAGAACAATGATGCAACATGCATTCTTGATTCTCAGTTGAACAAACAACCTTCAGAAGCAAATCCTTATAATCAGTTCTAACGGGCAGTGTTGCAACTGCAAGTTTCAAATTTTGGTGAGTCTCACAGACACAGATTGCATGGGCACCACTTGAGTCAACAGTAATGCACCGTGGTGGTTGCAGTGAACAAAACTTGCTAGCCCAATTTTCATTGCAGTTCGTTTTTTGAATTCTACATGCATCTACTTTGTTTATGTTCACCATCAATTCTGATTGAAAAGAATTCCTTTTAACCTGAAAACATTTGGGAAATTTCATCATCTTCAAAACATTCACGTGCACTTTCAATCACATCATCTGGGAGAACTTTGCCATGTTTTTTCTGGTTTGCCAAAATTCCATATGACTTCTTCAGTTTTCTTGCTTGCTTAACAACGTGCATGGTTACTCCAAATTCCTGTGAGACTTTTTGTTGGCTCCAGCTAGATGGTGCTAGTGTTACTATCTTAATTTTTTCTTGCCTGGAAGCTGTACTTCACTTAATCTTTAATTCAGTCACTAGTTTCGTTAAGTCATTGCAACCATCACATCCTTTAGCATCACCTTCATTCACAACTAGATTAAGAGGTACTTGGATGACTTTGCTTACTTTCTTCTGGATCTCTGTTGTTGCAGTTGCAATTTTACATTTGGCATATGAAATTCTACTTTGAACAGGCATTGCATGAAGCTAAACTGGTGTGCAGCCAATGCTTGTTATACTGTCATTTAGTTGAGAAAGATGCAAGTCAATGTCTTCTATATCGGGATCACTAGCTGAATGTCCATAACTCTGTTCAGGTTCTTAGGATGTATCATACTTTTGACAGCTTGGGCATAGCTTCTCACCAGGTTTGATGTGTCTCCCAGTTGTTAGTGTTAGCTCCTTGGCTTTGTCAATACTGACTGCCCTCAGTGACTTTGTGACTTTGCATTGATATTTATTGAATGGATCACAACAACTCCGCTGCAATTTATCAAATTTTTCAAGTAGAACCTATTCGTGGGGAAAGCATATATTGCAATTTTCTCTTTTTAATTGATCAAAAGACTTGGTTCTTAACATCTACAATTCAAAGTTAGCATCAGATAATTTTGACAGGTTATGCAAGCTGACACTGTGTGTATGAACTGTCTTGTGGCATTCATCTTGAAGCAACAGTCTAAATGTGCACAATGGCAGTTCAGCCATATTTAGTAAATGTTAAATCTATATCAAATATAAAAAAAATATTTTTATAAAAACATTCCATACTAATTCAACCAAAAAAAAATACAAATTTACATGCAACTTTCTCATAATTCAATAAAACTTTTAGTATATGTTTATAAATGTTTTCTATTAAAAAAATGAAATACCTAAAAAAAATTACCTACAATGAAAAACTTCACTAGACAGAAAAAATGGAAAGATTGCAATTAGAAATTGTTTATTAAAAAGTTAGAGAAACTGAAATTAAAGAAGTGAAATTAAAGAAATTGTTTATTAAAAAGTTAGAGAAACAAAAGTAAAGAAATGAGTGCCCATGTGACCTATTAACAAAGGCTACCAAAGATTGAATATTTATAAATTGTCACAAATTTTGATGGGAGAAAATTTTTCTTGAACAAGGAACAAAATTTGTTTTAATAATTATTATTTAGATTACTTTAACTCTAAACTCATAAACATGATTTTTAAAGAAACTAGATTTATAATGGTTTGGCAATAAAATATTAAACAAAAAATTCATTTGAAAATATTCAATTTCTTGCAGATTTTTCACCAAGAAGGAGGCAAGACACCAATATAAAATTTTCACCATAGCTAGTACTTACTGAGGTTAATAAGTGTGCAAAATATGAAATGTGTGAATTACTGTCAACATGGTCATCTGGGGGTCGCAATGCGCACAAAAATTGATGACCATGATGCATAACAACGCCTACAAAGAGTACACTATTATTGATTAACATGAAATTTCTATGAAAATAATAAACACATATATTATTAATGGTATAACAAACATCATTCCATGTTTTATAGGTTCTTGGCTATATCGGGTCAAATATTGGTGAAAACTGTCTAAAGTGCAATGTTTGGACATTTTTAGGGGATATTGTATGCAAGCTACATTTGATATATAAAACACCATTCAACTCAGCATGAAAAAATGAGTAAATGCTGAAAATTTAAGCCTGATACCTGTTTTAGTTTTTGAAATATTCACGTTGAAATATCACGAAAATGTAAAAGTCACGTGAACTTGCGACAACCCTTAAAACTTTAAAAAATCATATCTCAGAAAGTTTTTGACGAAATGGCCTAAAATTTTCAGCAATTGCTAAACTTTGTATGTACTACAAGCCCTGAAAATTTCAGGAAGATCTGAGATAATGTGGTGAACATCACCGGTTGAGTTGACATGGAATGACCCTGGCATAGTATTCCTAGTTGACATTAGAATGAACATGCAAGTTTTTAGTTTATACTATACCTAGAAGTTACTATACTGGAATACCAAAAAATATACCCTGCAACAAATCATTAAAACACGAGGTAACATTTTTTTTTTCATAAACAGTCTATCAAATCATGATCTTTATGAAACAAACACTTAGAATCATATAAAATAGAATTGCAATATAATTGCTTTGTATAAACCTGCATCATACTGTTTTGCACAAATTAGTAATAAAAATGAAAACTTAGTTAAAAATTTTTGAAACCAAGATAAAGATATACATTATCTCTTACTTCTAATGCCTTGCGCAATTCAAGTTACATGTTTGTTAGCTCAAAAAAATGTCATGTGACTTATTTTTTTTTCTTTTCTTAGTAACCAAGTGTCGGTTTCAATGTTTGTATTGGAACTAGATTAAGAGCGCTATCTAAATCTAGTATTTAGCATCAAAATTTAGAAAATTAAAAATTCTCTATACAAAAATCAATTTTTTTAGTTCTTTCGTAAATCAGAGTCTGTGTTTAAAGATATTTTAAATATAAAATACTTTAACAATAAAATATGAAAATATGAAAAAAAAAGCAGTTAAAAAAAAGATAAAGACAAGGATTGTTTTATCATTTGTTTACAACTATCTTTTTGTTGTGTTATATTTTTTTCACTAGTTTTTATTATTTATTTTTCCTATTTTAGTCTACGCAAGAAAGTTTAAAAAAAAAAGAATGGGATGAAAAACACTCAAAATCAGTCAACTTTAAAACATCGAAGGTAATTAGTGTATCAAAAAAAGAAAACAATAATCGAAGACATTTAGGTGATCACATTCAAAGACCAGATTTGGCTTTTAATGGAATAACGGTATGTTTTTGTGAATGTGGAATAATAAAGATAATATTAAAATAGAGTTTATAAAAAGTTGAGTGACATAAAAATAAAACTATTTAAAAAAAATTGTTATAGATCCCAGAAGACATTGCAATCACAAATTCAATAGTCAATAGTTTGAGCTCTGGTAAAGATATCAAACACATAGCTGGCATTGATCATGTTCGTGTTAAAGGTCATTATGGACCGTATCATTTTGATGAATCTGCAGGAAAGCCGTATCGTTATGAACATCATTCATATCCAAGACAGTGGAAGAAAAATATTGTTCTTCAAAATCAATCTAAATCAAAATTTAATAATTCATTTAAATCTTCATTTAAAAGTGTCCACATACAAAATGTTTATCACCAAAATATCTACAATATTTCTCCAGATAGAATTGAAGTATTATTATTTTTTTTATTTTCAGAAACATTAATTTCTTTTAAGTCTTTTCATTTTAGTGTTTTAAATGTTTCCTCTTTTTTTCCAGACACATTTCCATACTCTTTCACAAAGAATACCAAATAAAGATTTTTATCACCCATCATACAACCGAAAGAGTAAGAAATTATTTAAATTTAGCTAGTACCATTTATTGAAAATCTGTACTTTAGTGTAGTATGGTAACCATGGTTTGCAAATATAAACAAAAAACTATTATTCAAATTTTAATGACTCAATAGTTTATTTTTACATTTTACATTTACATTATCAACATTTTATTATTTTGTTTAACTTTATCCGTAATTTAATTATAAGGGTGAATTTAACTAATTTACGTATTTAATTAATTAAATATGAACCAAGTGACTTGTCAATGGCAGATATTAGTTTATTTAATTTTAACCATCAATCTTTGTCTGGGCAAGTTTGCCGAGCAAAAAGAAAGGCAAGTTATGTTAAATCTAAAAAGACGTATGTGTGTTACAAAAAAAAAAAAAACTCAATATGATCATGGTAACAAATTAAAAATATCAGTGTGCAGCTTTGGATTACAAAGATATTAGCCGTAATATATGTATATGTTTATGAAACATTCTGTATATTATACATAACGTTGTTCTGTCAAGTATTACTTTTAAAATGTAAAAAAGAAACTTTAGAGAAGTTTAAACTGATTAAATCATTAACCTTGAATAATTCAAAAAAACAATTAACAAACAAAAGATGAGTTTTGCTTCAAGAAACTTAATTTTATTAATTTTTGAAAATTATAAATTATTATATTGGAATCTACCTGGTTTTTGTTTTTTAATTGAAACACATTGCTAATATCAGTAATTTCAGTGTGACTGGATTTGAAAAATAGGAAGTGTTATTTGACAGACGAAGATATGTAACATAATTCTGAACATGATATAGTAGTATATGCTCTGTTATTTAAAATTATTATTATTTTTACCATTTTATTGTTTAAAAACTTTAAATTACTTAGAGATGTCTTATTTGATTATTTTTCCTAATAATTATCTCTCCTATCCTTTTTTTGTTTTTAAAAAAATCAATGTTCATGTTATTAAATATATAGATCTGATTGATATTAAACATAAATCTGATTGTTATTAAACATATAGATCTAATTTTTATTGAACATATAGATCTAATTTTTATTGAACAAATTGATCTTTATGTTTAATAACAATCAGACTTATATGTTTATTAAACATATAAGTCTGATTGTTATTAAACATAAAGATCTGATTGTAATTAAATATATAGATTTAATTGTTATCAAGCATATAGATTTGATTGATGCCAGTTCTTAACAGAATCGTGATTATAATAATCACAAAGAAAATAACTTAAGAAAAGTTACAAAATACTACCAAATAAATTTAGATTTGGTATTGTACCAAAAAAAAAATACTACCAAATAAATTTAGATTTGGGATTGTACCAAAAAAAATACTACCAATTAAATTTAGATTTGGGATTGTACCAAAAAATGTTTTATAATAAAATATTTTACAATAGTTTATTATAAATATTTTATAATAAATGATTTGTAATATTCCTAATTTTCTAGAATCGTATTTTTTAGATAAGTTATCCAGCAGTTATGTTGTTGAAAAGAATGTTAATAACTTAAATAATAATAAAGATATTGCAGGTATGAAAGGAACTGATCGAATTCGGGTTAAAATGCATCATGGGAACATACTTTTTGATCAGCATGCAAAATCTTACCGGTATGGTTATCATCATCATTTTTTTCCTAAAAAATTTAGAAATCATAAAAAATCCCACAACATCAGTGTAAAGGTAAGAAATTATTTAAAAGAACTCTAAATATTTTGTTCTTTAAAAGTGTTTTTTTTTTTCTTTTTTTATATTTTTTTTTTTATTTTAAGTACAAAAGTTGAAAAACCCTAAAAGTTTTAATGCCTATATATTGCTTCTTAAATCTTTGTTGAAATGAGTTCTTAGTCGTTTTTTTTTTTTGTTTCAGCATTATCTGGATAATTCAGCAGTTAATAACAATCTACCAAATAGTAAGTTTCCATGAAATATATCGTTCGACTGTAAAGTTTATCTTTGCATTCAATTAAAGTTTACCGTTAATACGTTTTATTCAAGTTTATCAAGTAAATCGTATTTACACGTTTTATTCAAGTTTTAACAAGTAAATCGTATTTACACGTTTCATTCATGTTTTATCAAGTAAATCGTATCTACACGTTTTATTCAAGTTTGATCAAATAAATCGTATTTACAAAAAGCATTTAATCGTTAGTTGTATAGATAGATTTAAGCTATATGAATACAAAAATACATTCACATTTTTTTTATTATGCACAAGATAATTTTTACTTTGATAGATACAATTATTTTGATAGATATGTTTTTATAAATAAAATAGATATTTTTATAAAAAAACTCATTGGAATAAAATTCTAATGAATTTTATTATATACGTATAGGCACAAATTAAGAATACAATTTTAGTTAATCTTCACTAAAATTTGAAATTACTATGTAATTTTGATCAACGTCAAAGGTGGAAATGGCTTAATTTAGCATAATATCTTTTTATACAGATTTTCATGCGTAGTTTTTTATATTCGGCCTTTATTAACCATAAACAAATGAGGAGAATTATATACAAATCTGTATATGGCTATTACTAATAGAATTTTCGTCAAAAACATAGAAATTAAATACGATCTAAATATATTATTATTTAAATGTTATTAGGTATCCAAATTATCTTTCAATTTGTGTTGTAACGTTTACAATACACAGTTGTTCAAAATAGGAAATAATTACTTCGGCTTGACCCGAGAATGCCACCTGTCCTGGGTGAATCTAGATGGTCCACAGATTCAAAATATATAAATATTGAAATCTAGTTACAACGTCCGAGCGAGAAAAATCACTTTGAATTTTTTATCCTTTTTGCACATACTCATGAGATGACAGCATTTACAAAATTGTGCATTTTTACAGCATACAAAATTAGTTAAACAGAAAACAAAGGGTACTGATGATAGATATTTACTTTTTCAAACTATATTTTGTAAATTATAAGTTTATAAAAATATATTAACATAGAACCAGCAATATTTATTCTTTTTGTTATGTTTAGCATCATCTTGTTATAATGATTGTGCTTACCATCTTAATGATCATTAAAACTGAAGAACTCTATTTTGACATCCGCAAACGTTTGTTTTTGTTTTGTTTTACTAAAAAAACGGAAAAAATCATTCTAGGACTTCAAAAGTTGAAAAAATCATTCTTTGACTTTATAAGTAGAAAACAACGTATTATTGCCTCAAAAGATCTAAGGTAAGATTTATTTAAGTTATTTTCCCTTCCATTCTGAATTGAAAAAATTTTTGAACATATGAACAATAAACTGAATATATATCACTTCAAGATAATCATTTAATGATCTAAAATCAATAATACTCAAAATAAGTACCAAAAATAGTCATTAAAAACCTGTGTAATTAATATTTAATATTATTTTAAAGCTTTTCCCACATTCTCTGCACTTTTATGTAAAACAAACTTTATTTTAATGTGTATTTGCTACTTTTCAGTAAACCATACTCCTATTTGAAATGATATCTTTTTGATATTTCAGTGAACGTTAACTATGCCTAACCAAGCTAAAGATCATGATGCAAATCGAAAAACTGTTTGCTTGCTGTGCTTTCAAAAAGCAACACGTCAAATTACAACCTTTCAAGAAGAAAGAATTCGTCAGATTTACCAACGTCAGATAAACTACCAAGACCCACGTGTTCCCCAAGGATTGTGTGAAGCTTGCCGTTCACTCTTGGGATGAAAAGATGAAGGAAAAGATGTCAGCTTTCCTGACCTGTTTGATTTCTTGACAATCTATATGAAACCAGAAACCAGAACAGCTGGTCAAGAATGCTCATGCCTAATTTGTCACACAGGAGGTTTGAGGCACAATCAAAAAAGTCCTATGGTCAACCATGAAGCGCAAGCAAGAGTTCCTTTGCGTTGTACAACATGTCTTAGTCCTATTGGAAAAGGACTTCCACACAACTGCAATAGGTTCACATTCCGCGAAAACTTGAAAAAGTTATCCAGTGCTGATCTCAGCGCTTCTGAACAAATTGCTTCGAATGTAATTGCTTCCAAAGATGCCTCTCCAAAAAGAACCATTAGGCTAGCTCAACCAGGTGGGGTTGCTCTTACCCTATCACCCCAGGTAATAAAACCTAAAGCGAAATATTTAAATTATCACCGCTTTCTTTTCAACCAATCGAATATTTATTCTTTGTTAACAGGCCCAAGTCAAGTGAATTCAGTTGCTTTGTCTGGTAAGACAAGTCTTACAACAAATGATCTTGTAAAAGTACAAATCAATACTGGCTTGTCGAATCATGGAGTAAAGAAACTAGCAATGACGTTGAACCAGACATCTGCTCAGAAGATAGTCGAGCCAAATTTCCGTGCAAAGCTCTAAGAAGCTGGGCAGATGCTATTTGAATTTTTCACTCACTCGGTTTTTGTAGATGCTAAAGAACCGAGACAAGGGTTGTCTGGCATTTCAAGGCTGTCGTGCACTACAAAAACCTCGCCGATCTTTTAAACTCAAACATCGAGATATAGATGGCAACCTTGTCAAACTTGGCATTGATGTTGGGGGAGGATTTTTGAAATTCTCCCTCAGTGTTGCGAGCAAAAGCCAAGGCAAAAATGCAAGCTCCCCACCACAGAAAAAACTCCTCACGCAACAACTAGCCAAGGATAGCAAATCCAAGAGGCAGCTTCTGGTTGCAATTGCAGAAGGTATGCCTGAAACCTATGAAAATGTGAGGGCCATTAAGTCTCTAATTCGAGCTGACATTCCATCATACCACATTTCATGTGATATGAAGCTAGCCAACATTTTGGTTGGTCTCCAGTCGCATGCAAGTACCCACCAATGTACATGGTGTGATGCAAAATCCACCAATCTGATTTGCTCAGAGAGACTGAGGACTATCGGCTCATTGAAGGAGAGTTTCAAAAATTTGAAAAAAAGGAAAAGGTCACCACAAAAGCGAAACTGTTTGGCAATGTCATTCATGAGCCGGTCTTCAGCGGAAAAAATGACATCCTTATCATCGACATTATTCCACCAATGGAGTTGCACTTTTTGTTGGGAGTGGTAAACCTGGTCTTCAAAAAAATCAAAGATGTGTTTGCAGATGTTGAAAAATAGCCTTCTTTTCTGCATATCCAAATTGAGCCTTATCACGGCGGACAGTTTGTCGAAAATGACTGTCAAAAACTTCTGAAGAACATTGACAAGCTTTAGCAGCTTGCAGAGGTTGGTTTAGCCTTCCAAGTTTTTCTCTTCATCGCTGTGCTTCGAAGATTAAATGCTGTTGTCCAAGCATGCTTTGGCATGAATCTGGATGTCCAAAACAAAGAAAAAATCAAGAGTTTCTAAGAGGCATTCCTGGCATTACCTCAAACAAGCGTCACTCCAAAAGTGCACTGTGTATTTTATCACTTCCAAGATTTTATTAAGTGGCACAAAGCACTTTTGGGTGCATTCAGTGAACAGAGTGTGGAGTCACTTCATCATGATTTTTCTCTTCACTGGAATCGATTCAAGAGGCCATCAAATCATCCAGAGTATGCTAGCCGACTCAAAAACTGCATTGTGGATTACAATAGCAAATGTTTATGAGTTCAGAATCAAATGTTTTTCTTTGGTCAAAATTTTTAATCCAGCACAGCATACAGTGTTTTTCATGGAATTTAAACATATTTGTGCTAATTAGAATTAAGAACTTGGCATAAGGATAAGTTTTTCATTTTGTTGTTGTTTTTTCCCATAAATTATGAACAAAGAGATAACAAGAAATGATGTGGATAATTAAATAGTTTTATGTTTGGGTTGAATTATTTCTAAAACATAAAAAGTATTCTTTTGAGGTCTATCTGTGTCAAACAAAATTAGAATAGTACGTAGATTTTTTGAAATTGATTATTTAATTATTGTATGCTGTAAAAATGCACAATTTTGTGAATGCTGTCATCTCATGAGCATGTGCAAAAAGGATAAAAAATTCAAAATGATTTTTTTCGCTCGGACGTTGTAACTAGATTTCAATATTTATATATTTTGAAACTGTGGACCATGTAGACTCACCCAGGACGGGTCAAGCCGAAGTAATTATTTCCTATTTTGGACAACTGTGAATACTAAATATGGCCTGAAAGACAAGTAACTTTGAAACTCAAACAAATCAACTCAACTTGCAAACAAAGACTCCATAAAACTTAGTCATCCTAAAAAAATTGTTAAAGAATTTGCTTATTAGTTGTAAATGATTTATAATTGCCTGAAAAAAATAAATTAAATTTGTTAAATTTTCAATGCAGTTTTTTTGTCATCATTAATTTTTATCATAAAAAATTAAATTTAACTTTTGGTAGGCTATGTTACTCTGTTGCGCAAAAACTTTACTTAACTTTTCTGAAAATTCAATCTTCCAAAACTTATTTAATAAAAAGAATTGCTTTTTAAAGACAGCAAAGTTTTTAAAGAAATAAGATGATGTAGAACAAAAACTTTCAAGTTGAGTTAGCGAGATAAATTAGCGAGATCATTACAAAAGTATCCTTTGAAATAAGAAACTAGTTTTCAAGCAAAATTATTGCCTTAAAACAAGGAAATCACTATGTTATAATTTTCTTTATATAATCAATGTTGCATCAACGTATATAATGCTATTTGATGATTTTACGTAATATTATTGAGGCCTTTAAATTTTTTATTTTTACTTGAGAAAATTAGAATGTCTCACTCTTACCTCTAGTGAAGAAATAAAATATTAAATGCTTGTTCGAATAATAAAGAGTATTTCTTAATTTTAAGACAGCGGATTAAGTAAAACTTCCTTACTGTATTATTAATTATTATTGTACGTCTACTTTACAGTGGCGTCTACTTTACAGTGGTAGAATTTTACTTCTTTTGACAAAATAGCTATCTAAAGAGCTTGTCCTCTTTACC